TTTTTTTCAAGAAATCTCTCTTTGAAGGGCTCTTCTTTTTTTTCAGTTTTTTTTTCTTTTACTGTTTTGTTGAGCTAATTTTCTTTGACAGAGAGGATCTAGATCGCTTCAGTGATCTACAGTCCGAATCCATGTCATCTAAATCTAGTGCTTTTGCATCTTTGTCCCCACTTTGGCTCTGGATACTTAGTACTGCAGAGAGTCCTGCGGACAGAGAATATATGATGGCACGGTTTCAGATATACACCATCATTTATTGGTCGTGAAATCTCAACATGTTGGGAATCCAGGCCCAACTCTCCCAGTGTACCAAATATGCGACTCATCTAGTAAGTCAGAATTTGTGATAGGGACTCACATAGGTTTGAAGCCAGGCATCTCATGGCCTTTTCCAGAGCCTTTTCTACTACATCCACGATAGTCAGGAAAACTGACGCAACTATTACAGAGTTATGGCAAGCTGCAACGCTGTCATACCCCCGAGTTCGTGCCTGTATTTCTTCTATGGCTTCTATGTAAAGGTGGTGTTTTCGGCCAAAAACAAAATTGGAGCAGTGTGCGCGTTGGTGAACCAAAAATGTGACAAAGTATAGGCAGTGTACATAAGGAATGCAGCATAAAAACAAGCTCCAGTTTGTTGAATGTGCACAAAATGCACTGCATTATATACCTCTGACGTGTGGTTGTGTATATATAGGGCGGACTGGCAGATGTATTAACACGAGGCTAAGGGAGCATATGTGGAGTCTGAAAGGTCGCCCTAGTACCAATTAGCACTGCATTTCAATGAGTGCATATGTTCTCCTTGTTTTAACAACACTACTTTAGAATATAGACATCGAAACAGAACTTCAAGAAAAATAATGGAAGCCTGTCTCAACGACAAGCTGAAAGATAAGTGTGTTAGCCATCCTTTGGTTGCCTTACTAACGAAAGAAATTTCTCTCCTGTCTGTTGTTCATTGAGCTTGTGATCATAAGTTGTGATATGTGCGCAGTTCAAATGTTTTTTGGTGACTAGATGGTGCAGATCTGAGGGGTATTAAGTGAATATTTTCGAAAAATAAACCAATTGTCAGTTGCACTCATTTGAATTTTCTGTGTCCCCATGTGCCTGCGCAAACATTTCAAGATGAATATGTTCCAACTAGGCCGAATCGCAGTTTTGCGATGTTGTGGATTGAAGGACAGATATGCTGTGTGATATATGTAAAAGTAACAGACATTAAAATAGTGCATGTACCAACATAGAAGCTAAAGAATGTTTTAGTTAACATGAAAGACAAGCTGCTGAATGGAATTTTTCCCGGTCTTGTTTATGCTATAGGCTGCCACAATTGTGACAGCCAGTACGTTGGTGAGACCTGTGATTTCAAGAAAAGGCTTAACGACATGAATATGACGTTATGCAACGACGCACGGCTTCGGACGCCCTCGCTAAACATGTGAAATCTATAAGCCACCAAATTGACTGGTCAAGCGCACATGCTCTAGCCAAAGAAACGATTGCATCATGCCTGCACCTCAAATTTCTGCCTATACAGACTGCACATATGCTGAACAGAAGTGATAAGACACTGTCAACAATGTACACTCAGTGCTTACGCCACGTACTTTACCTAAACATGCTGTACATTTACTATGGTTTTTATTGTGAACAAGGCTCCCGTATTGAGTGGCAAAACGTCAGCAAACTTTGTGTTTTTTGGTAGGTGTATACTTTGGCGTTTACACTAAGGAGCTACAGTTCTGCACTGCCTTTTTTTTATATTTCAGGTGTCTTCTAGCAGTTCAGTTCAGTTTATTATTATTCAGTCAAAACAGAAACGTTCATGGTTAATAGTTGCAGCCAAAGGTGCGACTTTTTAAGCTTTGATAAATTGTAATGCTTATGTTTGTCACTGCTGCCAGTTTGCATGACCTGGCCATGTTTTCACAAATTCCCTGACTTTTCCAGAAGGGTCCAAATTCTCTTACTTTTCCAGGTTGGTAGACACCCTGTTGCTATATCATTTATGACATAATTTCGTTAGTGCATCTATATAATTTCTAAATACTAATGGCAAGTGGAATAGTAACCATTTAATGGATTTTTTTTTTTTCAGGCTATATGGGATAGCTACTGCCAAGTGTCAATCGGACGCCCATGGCACATGCACTCGGAATTTAAAAACGCCCCAACAGCATAAAGCTTGAAGGCCCACAGGGTACCGTGGGACAGTGTTTTGTTGTAGTCTACTGGTTTGGCTTCGCTACTGCTTGTGCTAGTACTTTCATCTAGCCACCATATATGTCTCTTATGTCACTGAAATCTCTGTTCTACATGTCATGTGTTCATGCATGTTCTGCAAGCATCATATGGCCATCAAAGTCTCGTAGTGCAAGTTTTAGTTAGTTCCTGTCACTTCGGGTACAATAGCCCAATGGTCACCAGTTTCCTTGCTCAAGCAGATGCTCATGTCACATTTCATACAGGCAACAATAAATTTACGGACACCTATATCTGAAAAAAAGTTCGCAACAGCCTAGTATATTCCAGCCATTACAAGTAGTATATGCAGACACATTGCTTAATTTGATCAACTACAGTTACAAATTGTTTGGAAATTTGTCCTCTCAGATGCCTTAGTGAGTGAAATTTGTATGCTTAGGTATTTCTACATGCTGTTCGAAACAATTTATTCCTGGGTATTAAGGTGAATTCGAGCAAAAAAAATCAGTCTAATATTTCAGTGCTCCACAAACTTTGGATCTTATGGACACAAACTCTGTGAGTTACAGTTTATTGCATTCTGTTTGTTCTCAGTTAGCCACAAGTCCCAGAAAATTACTTTTGGAATCTGCATACAACAATCGATCCTGCATTTCTTTTTTGACAATACTCATTACGTTTGTGTTGATGTTAGTCTGCTGAGATTTACAAAAGTTAATGAAGGAATGTGAAAGAATGATGGGCATCGTTACCAAAAGTGCCTCACTCATGCCACTCATTTATAAGCATATTGAAACTCCCCTGTTTATCTGCAGGGTAGTTTCAGATCACCCCATTAATCTATAGTCATACCACTGAGAACCTCCAGTGTTTTTTCTACAGCCATTATTGCTAACAGCTACTAAATATATGTGATTGAGGTACAAAGATTTAATTTCAACGTAATAATGAAGCTACCTCTTGAGCAAGAAAAAAAAGTTAAGGAGGCATCTCTAAAGGTGGATGACCAGCGAAGCTGTTGAGGACATAACGTAGTGGTTACACAGAATTTCCAACAAATGTTCAAACTTATTTATTGTTTGGACAGGCAATGGGTGCATCGATACACTGTTCTTCCTAACATACATCCGCTTCTTGAGCAGCCCTTTAAGACAGATCATGAGAGCACCAAATTTTCGCAAAGAGGAAAGTTTCCAGGTGTATTTAATTCGCCATGTCAGCTCAGCACCTTGTCTTGCACAAGACTTATACCACTACCATGAAAGTCGACGAAGCCTTCATGGAAAGTCCATTTTTAGATCTGTTTTGCACTGCAGGTTTAGTTTAGTGCATTCATGATGTCCAGATATATTCACTTTCTGCCAGCATGGGTGTAAAAAAACTCTCCTTTGGAGTGGTGTAGGGGGTGTTCTAATCTGACCCCACTAGAAAATTCATTTTGGTTCACTAATTTATCTCGAGAATTCTTTTTTTTTTTTTCATGTGGTTCAGGTATATTCACTTTCTGCAAGCATTGGTGAGTAGTCCAGCAGTCAAGACACTCGCTCTCTAGGTGTGGAGTAGCATGTTCAAATCCAGCTCCACTAAGAAATTAACTCTGATTTATAATGGCAAGTTCTTATGTATCAGGCCTACTCACTTTCTACAAGCATGGGTTTGTATTGTAGCTCAGTGATCAAGACACTCACTGTCAGATAACGGAAGCGCAGCTTCCATTTATTTTGGAGATTTCCTGTCTTCTGACACAATGAAATTCCAATGAACCATATACAGCTTCGCTGTGAATAATGTCCTACCTGGATAGACATTCCACTAAGCGCACAGCTTTTTGATCACCGAGTGCTTACAACATAATGCGTTGCACATGTTTGGTATGCTACAGTTATTTATTAATGAAGTGCTGAATTCCCAGAATTTGTAGGCATGTGCATGCAGCTCACTGCTGCTGCCATGTTGAAATTAAATTGGAAATAGGAGGGCAAAAACAAATCACATTAGACCAACACGGGCCTCAACTGACAAATACAGAACTACATGTGGCACCTGTTTCACTTTCGACATGCATTTCTACAAAAGGTTTGATTGATATCTGTGGTTTAACATCCCAAAACCACCACATGATTATGAGAGACGTTGTAGTGGAGGGCTCCAGAAATTTCGACCACCTGGGGTTCTTCAACATGCACCCAAATTTGAACCTACACACCTTGTGCCATGCTACTAGAATTTTACCATAGCACAACAAGGGATCTATCTAAAACCAAGTCAATACCAACAGCTAGATTCATTCTTCAAATGATTATTCTTTCATACATATTTCCCTTTCACCTAATGATTTAGTTTTGTTTTCATTAAGCAAAAACTTGCAGTATGGTTTTACTGAAGCTAGATTTTTTTTCAAATGTGAGTCTATTAATAACAATTTCGCCTTTCAAGCTTGCTTGACTAGATCTATAATAAAAGTTAGACAATGGGCCTCAACTGACAAAGTACTGCAATTAGTACCATTTGAACCAGTCTTTGAATTTGCACTTGTGTAAAAGATTTTGTGGCTGGCATGATGTTTGGCACATGAAGGTGGTGGGATGAGCCTGTATATTTCAAGTAACCTGCATGGTATCGCATGGACTCACACTAGTAACCTGCATGGACTCACACTAGCAGTCATAAGTGGCTCATTTAATTATGCAACCCATCCAGTCACTAGAAGCATTGGACTTCGATGTATATTGTTCATGGATAGCTGGCCAGTAATTATCAGTGTAATTCATTGAAAAGCAATACCCACATGCTTTGTAAAGATCATAACTTTATTTCAAATGCATGGTAAAAAAATAGTATCACCTCCATGAATCATGTTTACAAATCCATTCAATGCCATATGATGGGTATTGGTACAGTACAGTAAATGACTGATAGATGTGCTGGAAATGCCAAACCAGAAAAACCCAGAAAGTATACATAACTGACAAAAGAGGCAAAATACTGTGGGCACTAAGATTTCATGTAGAGCTGGCATTCAGTGCACTAGTACAATAAGACACAGTAAAAGCTTCACAACTGCATGTAATACACAGAAAATGTTTAAATACCCACAAAGCACTGAAATACCAGCAGCAATAAGTCAGTTATTGCACATTACTGTCATAAAGCACAGTCTGCATCATGTGCTCTTTGTACCATTACCACCCATAAGCACTTCAAGTCAACTTTGACCAAAAAATGTCTTACATGTTAACCTCAGAAATACTCAGTACGTGCACACTACACTTTAATCGGGCCTCAAGTGTCTTAAATACATTCAAACAAAAATCAAGTACTTTAGTCATGCAATTCATTTTTTAATCACAAACTTAGAAAAAAAAAAGCACAAAAGTCCATACATTAAAAAAAGTTAGCAGATCCAAGTCTTCCACTCCAAGCTTAAACTTGCAGGGAAATATCCTACTTAGCGTCCCCATGCACAACAAACATGACTCAAAAAACTTGCATGAGGTGCATGTTGCTGATAAAGTCCATTTTGTTTCTTGAGCAAATTGTGATATAAATATTTAATCCATTGTTCAGAAAATAAGTTTGCAGGACTAACATATCAGCATAAACTGGATGCCAAATGACATCCTCCAATGTGTTAACCAGAAACACCAAGCAGCAGGCTACCAAGCTTCCAGGCCACACAAATGTAGAGCTCATGCCAGAAAAAAACCGCAGTGCAAGCATGACTGAGCACCGACATCGGCTAGGAAAATATGGGCAATACATTCGCAGTCCCAATGGCACTAGATTTGAGATCTTGGAGGGATCAGCCATCCCAAAACAATGGCGGAAAAAAAAGCCCACCAGTGTGAAGCAGAACCCTATGGCATTGGACAGTGGTGAGCTCTTCAACACACTCCTTCCCATGCATGTGTTAAATACAGTGTAGACGACTTGTAAAGCAACCGCTTATAGTGCAGAACCTGTTACAATGCGGTGTTTTGTGAATCCCGTTTACCCTCCCATAGAACCCCTATATGCATACCGCTTATTGTGCATTCCCCCAAGCTGAAAGACAGGTTATAATGCAGTTGCCGGGAAATCTTGGGGACAAATGTGGCAGCGAGGGCACGTCTGAAAGGAGGCGTGCTGGGTGCGCCGCTGCTAAGCGAGCAACGAGATCGTTACAGAGGACGAGGTGTGAACGAATGAAGGGTGGAGGAAAGAAGAAAAAAGCAAAAGGGAAAAAAGGGGATGGAGGGGTGGCAGTTGCCTTGGCGACGGATAAGCCTTTCTACTGGCATCGATGCCGCTGTGCACTAGTGTTGCTAGTGTGGCTCAGCATGGCACATGCAATCCCGTCCTTATCAACTGCGCTTAACAATTTGCTGTCTGGTAAAGTGTAGTCATTATCGAGCTTGCTACAGATATCGCGTTTGCTACCTCGTCCGTAAATTTAATGCCTTTTATGGCTTTATGACGTTAGCTTTCACCTTTGCTGCCAGTGCGCTGCGTACGTTAAGCTTGGCAAGTTTTCGTTGATCTCCTATCCACACATGCAAACTTCGTTCGCGAGTGCTAATGGGAGGTCAACAGGATTCGCTGTTCAACAAAAATTCTATTTTCGGTTCAGTGCTTGAGTGTGATACTGAACGCAATATAACAGCACACTAGGCTTAATTGGCGTTGCTGGTGTTTCAGTAGGGGTCAAATGCTATCTAAGTTGTGGCTTGTTACGGAATCAACAAAACCAATTGTGGTGGCTGCACTTGACGGAAAGAGATACATATTGTTAATGAAAACGAGGGTGGCACATGTAGTGCTTGAATAGTGGTTTGCGGTTCGATTGCCATGTCTGGAAATCGTGTTTGCACCCGTGAAATCTAATGATTGGCGTCTTTCAGCACGTGAAACTTTGGAATTGACATAGTTTCTGTGTAATGCACATTATCGAGGCGGTCTTAAAAGTAGTCGGCAAACTTCTGCGATGGTGCTTTCTTTTGTTAGGCCTCCCCCTCCCCCCCCTCTTTTCACGTTCATTTTGTCAGGAACGCGCAACTTAGGACTGCAATTTATTTTTTAGCATTTGGAAATTTAAATAATTGTAAGCACCACGCATTGTATGCTTCTATTCTCACACACATGAGGCTGCACGCTCAACATGTTTTGTGCAAATGCGGTTGTTAAAAGACTGTTTTGGTTATAGTGCGCATATCTGCGACTTCCGTTATAAGCGGTCTATAACGTAATACATTCCCTCGCATGGCAACACCTCATGCAGGTTGAGTGTGGCTTTAACACCTGTAACAACTTTTAAACACTGGCAGTGAAACAGCATCATGTGGGCATTCCCTGACAAAGACTTACAAAAGACTGCTGGCAACATGTGTGAGACACAGTTTTGGATGAGTTTGCCATGCAGATGACAAGTTTTGATTGCAAGCTTTTTCCCTGTCTTGCCAAAGCTTGGCTGTTAACTAAAAAATAGCTCTCAAGGGAACCACTTGCAAGATATATAAACAGTTGGCTGAACAGGTGATACAAAATGTATCTATGTACATGAATACAAGGGGCATGGAATGGGTTATCAGTGAATGTCCAGCATTCCACAGACTTGCCAGAGCAGTTTCTTTTTAGAAATAAACAAGCACTGTAGGAAACTAGGAACACTGCACTGACAACATACAGGTAGGTCAACTACACAGTATTTACCTCTAGTATGTGGACACACGTGCAGATGCCCTTAAAAAAAAAAAAAAAAACTAACGATACAGCTGTAACAGCCATGCAACAAAGTCGGCTGGGACAATTGAGACTAGACATGCAAGTGCATTTACACTCTGGTTACATTTCCTTGCTTTTGAAGATTGTGCGCTCTATGTCCACAGCACGAGATCTTACACTGGTATGCTATCAACAAACAGCAATATGGGCCAACATATAAACGCTAGCAACAAATGTTCCAATGAAAACTACTGGACAGCAGGAGGTGTGAGCAGTCCCAAAACTGTGCTGTTGCCGCTGGCCACTTTGCCACGTTTAGATTCTGACGAGGCACTGGCTTCTTTCTTCAGGCCAAATGCTTTTTCCTGGTAAAAAAAAAACAAGAATATATTAGTCTTCTCCCTGTAACTGTGCAACCAGTCACAGCCTAAGAACAAGGATAGCCAGTGGGCAGCAATAGTTGCTTAGAATAGTCTGCACCTCCTGAGGTGCGTTATAAATTTACACAATAACAAAGAATTTTAAATAAGCAGTAACAACTAAATGTGAAACAGAAGCAGGTAGCCAGGGTACACTACTACTACTGCAATGACCATAACAAAATCATGCGTGCAGTGCACGACTTCCGATATTTTGTCACATTACTATCCTTGGCTGTGGTGGCAAAATAAGTTGGGGAGGGGGGGCAAATATAAGATCGGCATATTGATTATCTTATTCAACACTGTCTTAAAGCAGACGTTATTCACAAATGAAAAGTTTGAATATTCAGTTTAGAAATAGTTTCTTCAGCCATATGGGCACAATCATACATGAAACTGAAGCAAAAATGAAGGAAATGTTCAGTTCTGCCATTGTGCACATACTAATGTGCTATTATGGAGGAAGAAACAACCTTACTAAAATAAAGCTTTTTTGTTACTTTGGGTACAGCCCCTCATCTCAGCCCCACTGCCTACTGCAACTCAGCAGGCCAAGGGTCGTCAATCAGCGTCCCAAATCCAGTTTCGGCAGGTGCATCACCCACAACATATATATGAAAGTCCTTAATTGGCAGTAAAACGATGTCTCCTGGATACAGTGTTCAGTGTTAAATTATGTGTTCTGAGAATCTGTGTGGAGTCGCACCATAAACATTTTTCGCTATGTTTTTTTAGCAAATATGCTGTGGGGTCCAAGTAGCATGCTGTGTAACTGAGGGAGTCATAGCTGCATCAAAATAATCCACATTCAAAGTTGGCTGACATGCCATTTGCAAGTAAGCTGGTAGCATTGGTAATGTGTGCTCCTTTGGGATTAATCCCGAATAAGCTCGATTCTACAATTATAGTGGCACTATTTAAAGTGACTAGTTCAACTACATAAAAGACAATTGTACTGTTTCACTGCAATCACTGCGTCTAGGCACATACAAGTTGCTTAGAATAGTCTGCACCTCCTGAGGTGTGTTATTACTAAATTTACACAATAAACAAAGGTACTATATGCAAACACTAATGGACTACTTTATAAATGTTCATCATGATAATGCATAAACCATGGTTGAACAAACAAATGTATTATGTAGCTTTTTGTTGGGATGAGGTGCTGTTAATAACTTTCCATGCACACATCTACTTAAACTAGAGTACATTGTTTATGATTGAGAGTAAGGTAGGCAAAGTTTCATGCAAGAGATGAGACGGAGCATGGCCTAATGGCACCAAAGTACCTCAAGTTTGCCTGAAAAACATTCATGCACAGCCCAATTCAATACTTTAAAGATCTGCCTCATTCTTACCACACAGCTGCCGCAAGAGGCATGAAACAGAACTGAACTGGTACAAATCACTATAATTTAGAGGAACCCACAGCTTTCATAGTGTGAAAGGAGACAGGGAAAGAAAGTTGTGGACGTGAGGCAGAGGGCGAATTTGACTGCTCATAATGCAACTACACTTACACAGGCCATACTAAAAACTATTGTAAAATGCTGAGCAAGTGCCCCCTTCCTGTTTTCGTGAGATCTGAAATACCGTATTTACTTGCGTAATGAACCCACTCCACAACTTGGTCCTCGAAAAAAAAAAAGAAAAAAAGATGTATCTACTCATGTTATTTTGGCATGATAACCAATGTTGTTGACGATCGAAACAACTTTAAATCAAGCCATTATATCACAAAATAATGATGCAATAAAAGTCAAAACATAGTTCACCTACCATGTTAAACAGTTGCGAACAGCGTGAGCTCAGACGACCTCAATCAAAATTTAAGTCGCACCTTTTGCAACAGAGTGCAATCTATCGAATGCAGGGGAAGCCTCTGCTTATAGTGCCATACAAGCCCAGCGGCAAGAAAACAAAGCAAAAAACAAAGTGTGTGGCCTCCGAGATGGCTGGCGTGCGGCATAAAAACATGCCACGCGTCTGCCATGTCGAAAGCCATGCAAAACGCAACCACGCTGATGGTGTGTTTGCTCCCCCAACATTTGTGCGCCGCCATCCGACGCTGCGTTTTTGTTCTTGGGTTTTTGTAGTGAACTTAGTTGGACACCTGCTGCGCAGGGCGTGTTCGGCTGGTATGCTGTCTAGACGGCTGGTTTCAAAGCTAAAGTTGGTTGAGCATGCGCTGGAGCACGAGAACGGACCGGCTGGACGATGCTTCAGCATCGATCTGTGCGCATTCGTTACAATAGAAAACAAGAAGAGCTTTAAGGTACAAAAACAATTCGCCACGCATTTTGCCGACCAAGACAAGCAAAACAGTCATGCGAAAATCTGTTTTCGAAAACTCCTGTGACTTTTTTCTCCCGAGTAATGAACCCTCCCCCAAACTGCTGTCAACTTTTCCATTAAAAAAAAGAAAGAAAAGGGTGGATTCATTGTGCTATGAAATACGATAAGCGACAAAGAAACCCCCCCCACCCCCCCGATCTGGTTGGGTTATCCGTAAGTAACCCTAAAGAGTGGCTACTACCCAGAATATATGAGATGTTGGTATAAATAAAAATGCAGTGAATTAAAGCGATATAATTGACCAAGCTGTTAGCAATTTAATTGAATTCAGTTCATTATTGACACTGCAAGCCACAAAAAATGGCAGGTCACATGATCTTGCGAGAAGCATTGAAACTGTGCAATGTAGTAGTCAGCTATTTAGAGCCACCAAACTTAGTACATGAAATTGCAGTCTTTATACTATACATAGGCGAGCGTACCTTATTCTATGGCTACTGAGAGGTAAAAAGTTCCCGCTGACAGGCAGGTAAGAGTGGAACAGTGGACCCATGACAAGCTGTGTCATTCCATATCTCTTGATGGCTCATTTGAGCTTTTGTAAGTAGTCAAGTTTGCAAGCGAGTTCACAGCATTGTACCATATCCCTGATATACAGAAAAAGCACAGCTAAATTTTTCATAAATAGGTGCCAGGACTACACGAACTGATCTACTAACATATTCTACGACTTCTCACAAATCCGGACATTTAATGGTTCGTGTGCTCATCTGTCAGCGAGTTGAGCACTTTTCAAGTGTGCGACATCTCATGAAGATGTAAAAATTGATGAAGTGTCTAGCAGAGTTTCCCGCGTTAGCAAACTACTATTGCACCCCGACCAGCGAACTTTCTTTTGCACTATTAAAGTGGGTACCAGAGAAGTGGCCTGCCAGTCCCTCCAAATTAAAGAAGTTTCATTTCTTGAAAACTATTACATGGCTTATTAAAGGTACAATAGTCTACTTACCACAAGCTGGAGATTAACATGATGAGCTTGGATTTCGTGTCCAGCTTTCCCACAGGTTCCAGACATGTCTTTTAATCCTTCTTTGATAACAGTGGCGAATGGTACCATCCACTCAATGCAGTTTGCTAAATCAGCGGTCTTGTAGCCTGCAGGAGACAGTTTTACAAATAAACATTTGGCCTGCCAGTACTTTTCCCTAAACCACTCGACCTGCATAAACATCGTACAAGTCTCTTGAGCATTTCACTAAAACAACTTACACATGACTTTTTATGAAGATTACGCCAGAGCCTCTTTTCTAGACTTCTGTCATGCGGAAACACCATGTAAATCCACAAGAAAATAAATGCCACTGTCACAGTTAAGCATTTAGAATGGTACACTCCAAGCTTGTTACAACAAAATAATGGCTATAATGAAGTAAACAAAAGTCCCTTTGACAAACTAAGAGACATACATTTGAAACTTTGCTTCAATGAAGCAAATTCGCTTGTGCTGACTACATATACTGTTTTGCGTGGTGGTTTAAAACTCCCGTGTCCCAACACTGACACATGGAAGTAGCAACGTAGTCTATTTACTCATACGACTGCCTTTTTTTTTACTACCTCAGCAGATTTTGTCCCTGAATTACATAAAGAATACTGGTATAACCACCGTCTAACTACAAACCTTACTGGCTATCATTTAGAGCCGTCTATGACATTGCTCCACACCGAGGAACAACAGACATTACACCACAAGTTGGTGAATTGCCCAGAGTCATATTTATGAGAACGCCTGACAATTCGAATAATAAATATCGTGCAGCTCCCACAAGTTTGAATTACCGAGACCCAAATGTATGTGTGTATAAGGAAATGAGCGTTTGTGCCAATATGAAGACACCTCTATTCTTACTGCCTACAATTCATTCATGCTTCATTATTTATTCATAGTGAGTATTTACTACTGAAATCACACAAATCTAACACATTTTCTGAGAAAACGGGCTCGAAAGCTGCACATACATTACAACCTGTAACTAAGCCTAAACCAAGTTCACAGTATTAGGTTCAGCATACAGTTTTACATGCAACATTATAATGGTAAACAGGAGAACCTTGCTGGAACGTGCCCACATGCTATTAAGTTTTTGGCCAGTCCTGACGCAACTCCCACACGATTTAATGCATAGGGGACATTATTGTTACAATGCAACTGTAGGACTCTTCGCATATAATATGTCAGAACATGGTGTTCTGAGCTAGCCAGAATGCCCACGCTGGCATTTCAAGTAGCTGGGCCTGGCTTGACTATGAGATTTATAATATGTCAGAACATGGTGTTCTGAGCTAGCCAGAATGCCCACGCTGGCATTTCAAGTAGCTGGGCCTGGCTTGACTATGAGATTAGCCCCACAAAAGATTTAGGCCACCGGCAACAATTTCCGGTAACAATAATAAGAAGCCCAAAGATCTACATCTCTCAATTTTAACATGACAACAATGATGTCACAGTTTTGTGCAAGTTACTCAAAGTAAAGCCTTTGAGATTTATAGTTTCAATAAAAAAAAGTAAAGTAGTAATGCCAATCGTGCCCCTTCACCTCTGCCTTCTCTCCTGGCATCTGCAGCAGTGCCTACATAGTGTCCACCAGGAAATTGGAGATGTGAAAGGCATACACTCTTCTGTCGCACGGGAGAGGATATGCTAGTGTCATTGTGAAGCGTGCGCTTGCTTTGGTGGTCGTGGCACAACCAAACAAGCAATGCGACAGAGGATGGGCAAGATGATGCTTGCGCTACCTTCAGAAAAGCTAGTGCATCACACTTGAAAAACCTGCAGATTCTTAGTGCCACAGAGCTTACACGAAGAGCAGTGACATCAAGAGCATAGTGCTGAGTGCGTCTGCATCCTAACAATGGGCTTTCGCATCAAGTATCGTTGCTTGTGGTGATGTTTTTTGCCACTACAAGTATTTTTATTCTTTTACTGGTTTACAAACCACCTCCAGGACAAAAATAAAATAAAATAAAATAGTAAACAACTGATAATCACACCATAACCATGAACCTACCTGCCCATTGCCGTATTGCTGACACCATGAAACGTCAATCACATCCATGTACACAATGATTGTATATTGCTTATTTCTACACTTTCACACAAGACAGAAACACACCATTTGCATAATGTACAGTCGCGCTCAATGCGAGTGCCGACATGGTGGCTGTGGTTAAAGTGACCCCAAGCCTTAACAATAACAAACGTTAAATTAGTTCAGAAAGTATCGCTAATTAGGAGTGTTTAATACACTCTTTTTTCTTTTTCCATGTGAGTGTTACTTTGCAATGTTGGCGCCATTTTGAGTACAGGCAGTGTGTTTCAACTCTTACTGAACAAGACTGTACATCACATTGTCGTATTTAAAATTTACTCACATAATTTACGCACCCCTATTTAGCCAAATTTACTGAATAAAAAAATTACTTGCATATTACGCACTCGCCAAAGTGCACACAAGAAGACTGAGTCTTTAAATATCTTGGACGGGTGCTACTCACCGAGCAGGCGAACGCAGTCATACAGAAAATGGGCTGCAAGTGCGAAGTCCCTTCTTCCGAGGACTCCCCCCAAACTGTTAAAGGGTTGTCAGAATCGGAACTGCTCAGGCATTCACCTTCCTCTATCTACCCAGCTCTTCCATAGTGGCAGTGCATGCTCTCGTCACGGAACGAACAATTTTCTGGATCGACATGCAAGGGCGGCCTGTTGCGCCAACTGTTCCCCTCATTCTCTGCGTCCACACTGCAATGCATACTTCGTTGGTTTCGGAAGTTTAGGTTTCGCCACCTGTTTAGTGCGTTTTTACTGCTCCCTTGCGATGGGCTACAAAATACCACGCGCAGCCAAATTCAAGCTTGCTGTTACAAAGTATGCCGAAGAAAATGAAAACCATGACACTGCCAAGCCCTTCAGTGTCAAGTTCTTTAATGAGTGGTTATCGGTACGAGAGAAAGCTGAAGAGTGCACGCTTGTTAATACACAAGTTTCCTACCATTGAAAAAGACCTTTTCAACAATGAGCGAAAGGTCAGGTTCTTCGGTACCACGATGTTGTGGGACCTTGCTTCTCCCAGCACTGTCGAAAAGAGCTTCAAGAAATTAAGGCATTCAAATGAGCTAGATGGCACCAAGAACAACGCGCCTTGGGAGGGCAACGACAAAGGCTGTGATGACAATTCTCTATCGAACCTGTCGACCAGTGATTCGGACTAAACCACGTTTGACCGGTTGATTGATATGCGGCGTTTAACGTCCAAAAAGCAACATATAATTCTGAGTGACGCCGTAGTGGAGGGCTCCGTAAATTTTCACTACATGGGGTTCTTTAATGTGCACCAAAATCTGAATACACAAGCTTGCAGTATTTTCACCTCCATCGAATATGCAGCCGCCGTAGCCGGGATTCGATCGCGCGACATGCGGGTCATCAGCCGAGTACCTTAGTAACTAGACCACCGCGGCGGGGCCACGTGATCTGGCTGGTTAAAGTGTACGCTAATTCTGTTAAGTAAACTTCGTTTGTGCTCCAATATATATATACATATCGTGCACACCAGGAGAATATACTACAGCACATTATTTTGATACGTTTGCGAAATGGCCACATAATATGTGCACCCCATTTTCAAAGCTCCAAAATTGCGGAAAAAAAAAGTGCTAATTATGCGAGTAAATACAGTACTCCTTGTAGTCTATCTCTCTAGAATGCTCCTTCACCTTCCCTTATGCACTTTAGCAGAAAGAATCATCATTGTGGCCAAATGGAGGGGCCTGCACACTGACACGAATGGCACTACTTTAACTTTTCTAGGGACATTACTGAGACTTGCTTGGTTGCGCCATTACTATAGCATGGACTCGTCCTTCTCATTCATACTGTCAAAGGTCTCCTCGTGCAGTCTTTTTACTTGTGAATCGTTGTAATGGTTGAGCCAGCATGCTGCATGTCTCCAGTTCTCTGATACCTCCAATCGTAGGTGCCAACACAGTCGCATATTATGATTACATTTCTGTTGATGACACTGGTTTTTAGTTTGTGTGGCTCTATTCGTCGACAAATTAGATAAGGAGAGGTTGTATTGTTGAACAACCACTTTTTGAAGATACTTTCACTTCTGCGAGGCATTTTGTGATCCCTGAGACACGCCAATTAGGCACTGTGCCAACCATGCTAAAACAGTGGACCAAGAACCTTACTACTCACAGATGTCTGTGCATCCCGCGAAATTTCCGCAAAAGCTTAAGTATTGCTGCTGTGTGTTTGCTCGAGAATTTTTATAGAAAATTCTTCAAGGACCCTGTATACAGGGTTTTTTACATGAGGTTTAAAATATTGCCCAGGTACTGGAGCAGACGTTCTTATCAGCCAGCAAAAGGCACCAGATTTACTATTTCTTAAAAAAAAACAGAGGGTGAGAGGTTAAAAACGCAAGTTTTTTCCAAAATCACATTTTTCGTTTTTGTTTTTTGCAAGTTTACTTTCTCTAAATTCAGACACACTCACACAAAACCTGAAGATTGTCCAAACTAAAAAGAGATCATTGTCTCGAGTCCACAAGAGATTGCCACCTAGCTGCTTGCCATTGCATTTCTAATAATAATTGTCAAAGTCTAACATCCCAAAACCACCATATGATTATGAGAGATGCCTTAGTGGAGGGCTCCGGAAATTTTGACCACCTGGGGTTCTTTAACCTGCATCTAAATCTAAGCACACGGGCCTCAAGCATTTTCACCTCTGCCATTGCATTTCACATGAGGAGTTCCCTAAAACCACATGCTCAAAATAACAATGACTGCCAAGCTCTCATGATACAAGAAATCATTTTAAAAACATATCTTTGAGACATAGATAAGCTTGAACTTATGCATTTAAAATAAGTTTTCTCTCAAGATCCAATTTTAGGCAACTTCTAGAGTTTGGACATTTTTTCAGTACTTCTAATAGCCAGATCAGGATGAAATTTTTCCCAGATATTTCTTAACATCTGAAGGGTGCAGGTATCTCCTTTAAAACTTGATATCACCTGAATAATTATTAAAAACCTAAAGCAAGCATTTAGTACGGGCTGAGACTTCTAAAAATTCTCACATTGCAATTTTCCTTGTCCATTAAAATGTCGTATATGCACTTTCTCGATAGTTACTTGCACTGTACAGTTAATATAGAGCAATATTAGTCATTGATATCTCAGAATTATAAAAGTTCAATGGAATAGAAAGTTTGTCCAAAACGAATTATATTTACACATCATGGCACAAACAAATAACTATGCAACTTACTATAAAACTAATTACATATTTGAAATCAGCATAAAAGCCTATATATGCAGCATAAAGTTTCATTGCTCTAGGCTACATATTAATCTTTTTTTTGTTAAATCACATCTCCCCTTGAAAGAATTAGCACAAAAAAGAAGAAAAAGTTCAAGTCAGTGTTTTGTACAAACTAGCTTATATATCACCTCTAACACTGAACCTGCTCGCACTGCACTGATTGACCAGAAAAAAAAAATGCATCACCCAATGCTGCGCAGTTTATTTTCATGAAATATATTAGAGTAATATATTGGAGCACATTTCCTGACAACTCATTTTTCAAAATTTCCTCTTTCTCAGCTCTTGCATTTGAAAGCTACTATTTTTTTCATAAGGTCCCCTGGAAAGAGGATTCTGTTGTATTATCACAAAGTGATAACAGCAAGCTTCGCAGGGAGCACGGAGGAAGAGAAAGTTCTTAAAGAATGTTGGTTTATTTTATTCTAAACTGCGACCTGTGTGAAGCATCCATTTACAGAGAAGCACAAATGGTGATGCATCGTTTTCAGTATGAAAACACTTAGGAATATATTGATTTCATAATATCCCGTCGGGATATTACTATGTCCAAATATACCAGATTTACTCACGTAATCCTTGCACTCGCATAATTCTTGCACCCCCCACATTGCCCAACAGAAATATCTTTTTTTTTTTCTGTGAGTAATTATCACAGTCTGAAAAATTGCAGCCAACATGTATTCTGCTCCTTAGCACCTGATGATAGTGCACGACAGCCTGGCGCCACATCTTAAGCATTGTGTGTAGTATTAAAGCGTGTAGCCGTAATTCAGTCCAAGCCAAGCCAAAGTGGCAAGTGCACATGGCGCCGTGTTAGTAATATTAATGTATGTTGTGTCAGTTCTGTGGCTACACTCTGGAAAGACACAAAAGCTACAGGGCTGCTTTCAAGTTTAAAGTGATTGATCATGCACTAAACAGCAGAAACAGGGCTGCCGGAAGGCAATTTGGAGCCCACAAGTTTTGTATTTGTTGCAGGCGGCGCGCTGGGCGTTGTACGTAAGACTGGGATGGATGGCGAAACTTTTATTTCGTAAGAAAGCAACTGCGGACGATTCCGTGTTAGATGGCCATTAGCCCAAGGATGACTTCGTACGCTAACGTTTCGTGAGCTCCAATTGAATGACCAACGCTAAAGCTGCATCCACAAACTTTGTGTACGGCATTCCAAAACTTCAGTATTTGCTTGCTGCCTTTGTGTCTCAAATATATTATTACGAGGATTACAAAAAAGTCCGCTACGATGACTGGCACCGCAACGTTGACTACCCTGCTGACTCTCGTCGTACTTTGGACGCCGCATCGGCGTGAAGGCTTGTGCGAAAAGCTCCTTCCACGATATACCGGGCCCTACAAAGTTCTCCGCAAGGTCACTGACGTCGACTACCTCATCACTCCGGTTGAACCACCTTCATCTTCTGCCACACCACCTACTGATGTTGTCCATGTGTCGCGACTAAAACGCTACTACACTGCCAGTCCTGATTGACTTAGCGGCGCCGTGACGGCGCTTCGTCCGCCGGGGGTGATATTACGAGGCAATGGGCATGGCTCCGCCCTGTCGTAGACGCATCGATGAAGAAGAAGCGGATTCGGCGCGCGAGATCCTAGCAGCCCTGAGGTGTCACACCTACCTGTAAATATTGCAAATACACTCCTTTCTCTCTTCTGTGTATTTGTAATCCCCATAACAATATCTTGCCTTCTGTGGAACCTTATCATTTTATTGTCAAGGCAAGTTTTGATCAGTACTTCCCAAAGCTTGTACTAGTTAATTGCTAGCGTGAGAGTTCTGATGTGCGGCCACTTCCTTTTTTTTTTGCTCCATGTGTATTGTAAAAAAATTTCCTTGCATAATTATCGCACCTCCTCAACTTTTCATCGGTTTTTTTGAGAAGTGAGAGGATTATGTGAGTAAATACGGTAGTAATATCCCATTACTGCATCCCGACTTCACTGTAAGCTGTATGGTTCAAGCTCCCTCAATTTGCCAAAACACACGAACTATGTGCATTACAGTGAAGCAAACTCACCAGAAACAGTTGATGCTAGGGTTGGCGACATCATATGGTGGATCGCTGAAGCAGCAATGGCACTATATTTAAATTGTAGGCAATCTACGTCCAGCATGCATAGATCCACCAACTGAAACAATAGAGCACGTGTTGATTAATGTGGCTTGTTATATTCAAGAAAATTCGGGAAATTGCACATTTAACACTTAGTTCCTTTGACACTATCACCCACAGCTTCAAAACTAAATGCAGTACACTGAAAACTACAGTTTTCATTTTTAAATAAGATTCGGGGGAGCCACCTTAGCCTGTACAAAAAAGATTCACAATAAAATTACATAATAAATATTTCTCATTTATATTATGAATTTACATTCTAATTCAAGAATGGAAGCAAAGACTTTTCCTGAACATTTCCTATCTTTTCTTACTAACTACATTTCATGAATAAACAAATGGCCCCAGCAGTATTCCATACAATGAATCAAATCAAAACTCAAAATTATATTTAAAAAGGTCACACCAGCTTTTAATACTGTTGATCTTGAAAAAAAAAAAAAGAAATTGTTTTACTCCAACCAAACACAGTAAAAAATGCATATATTTGCAGTTTTTTTAGGTTTCATTGTTAAAATTTCTTAAAGGCCAAGCTAACATATATTGCTAGTATTACATTTGAATTGAAGAGAGCCAGAAAGTAAGTGAAATGAATGACACACCTGAGCAACTTGTACAAAAGAGCAAGCAGAAAATCCTGGATGTAAGAAGTTCATGTCCTTGCCCCTTTTCTCCTTCTTTGCAGCTATCTGCAGGTATGTGTTAAGCCACCCATTGACGGTTACTGGAGTCAGGTCCCAGTTGAGAGCCTACAAAGAGAAAAAATTATTAAACGTCCCAACGATCAGTTGAATTTATGCAAATTAACTTAGGAGCGGTGCACATTTTATGTAGTTAAATCAATCTACTTTGGTATAAGAGGGTAGCTCCTAATTGAATGGCAGAGACTTTTTTTGCTGGCATGTACATGGCGGCCGGTATTATACTCGGCAACAATTAATCCGCAGTTCGGCTGACCGACGCTTCGTCCCACTCATCATCATTCACCCTGTGGATATGCTACGATTTTATTTTTTTCGCATTTAAAATGGCAGGTAAATTGTCGTCTACCAGTCATGATGTAACAAGAGTTTTATACCAGCAGGTGGAATGTGGCTTAATTTTCGGAAGCTTCGGTTTAGCAACACGGTGCTTGCAATAAGTCAAAACAAAGCTGCCAACTGTTGAATCCAGATGTTGACAGAAGCACGGTCACAAAGTGATGAAGGCAGCAGCATAGACAGCACCGCCTCATTTGCGTTGTCCACAGCTGCCGTTTTCACTCTTTTGTGTCATGCAATTGGGTGTTTTACACTCTGGGCGCTACCAGGATTGTCCAGATCGACCGGGTTGCAGCGAAATAAGACCAAATTAACCAGAGTTTGTTGCCATTAAACAATGTATATGATAGCTGGGACCAGAGAACACCTCTCAATTATCAAACTTTCCTTAAAGAGAGTCGAATTAAGGAGCTTTTACTGTAATATTTCCTGAGTGAATGTTTCACTACATGCTAAAGGCACTTTCAACTACAGTCTGCGCAACCCACAAATAAAAAATTAAGACATGAAAGTTGTGTGATGGCCTCTTTAAGATGCCATTTTCAAATGCAATGCAGCTTAATGGATAACGGCAAATCATGTCCACATGGTGCGAAACGCAAAATGTCTGAAAGCGGTTGGACACGACATGCAACTTGTCACCCCCATAGCTCATTTTTCAACATTCGTAACTCTGTGAAACAAGACTTTAATTAACTTTATGAAATATTTGGGAGAGCTGGAGGTATTCCATAGTCAGTGAAGTCTACAAATACTCAGTCACAAATAATGAAAACAAAATGCATGAACAATTGTGAAAAAGAAATAAAAGATTAGGACAACACTTGCCACAAGAATTGACAGTTCCTTGTCAAGAATTTCTCTCTCCTGGCAAGCACCATCAGTTACATAGGCAAACTCTGTCAGCTTCGGCGGGTAAATTTCCTGAACAGACATTTAGAACACTGGTTAGGAAGGTTGGCTCAAAGAGTGCAGTATTACGATTTTAATACTTCTTTTATGAAGGCAAATTGACAGGCATGAACTGAAGCTAGGTAACTCTGTGCAAGGCAATGAACATTCAATACAGCCATTAGAGGGTGCTTTTCAGCTTCATAATGTGCATACTGTTTGTGAGCTATTGCTTCTGAGGCTGCTGATTTTTCAGCAGCCTCAGAAGGACATTTGTGCTTTGACAGTTGTGTGCAAAGATTCCGTTTAGTTTTATAAATTAACAAATTCCTTTGCACGGTCAGTCTGAAATACTGAAGAAAGCCTCATTAAAGGGGCCCAGCACTCTTACAAGTAGCCACCGAATGGCTTCATTAAAGGAATTTATTGCCTAATAAACTAACCTCCCCCAAAATTTTTAGAATCTGTCAAGTATGGGAGGAGTTACCGAGAGTTGTCGCATACTTTAATTTCTCTCGTCCTGACAGATGGGCTGGGGAGGGATGGCACGGAGAAAGGAAGTTGCATCCCATGAGCACTTCTTTTTTGTCTTTTTCTTTGAACATGCAGGCAGCCCTCAGTGTGACTCTGAATGCACACGCAGATGCATGTGGAAGCATTATGCAGCTGCCACTCATTAGTATCGCTATGTTGCATTGCCTTGTGTCTCTTAAGGGCAGTCGTTTCCGCGGGTTTGCGGGGAAATCGAGATTGGGAATTGGAACACGGCACCCAGTTTTTGAATTAGGTGGACTGGTGCTGACCACTGCTTCAAATTATTCACTCAGACTTACATTGCAAAATACAAGACTATAGAGATATTTCGAATTAAGCGAGATTTTGAAATAACAGTTTAAATTAACGAGAATATACTGTCTGTCACATAATAATACTTACAAGATGCAGATTTGTAAACTAAAAACGTTTCTACCTCAGTCCGATTTGTTAAGTTGCTTTTCAAACGCCCAATTTCCAGTGTTTCTTCGTTAGAAGTTAGATGCTGTAAGTGAAAATTCTGCTTGCCAGAGTTGCTGCAATTCCTTTTTTTTTCTACAGTGCAGAAGTTGCAAGTTTCTTTCATCGTAGATGAATTCAAGCAATGATATCACTTTTTCATGACTGCAGTGGCAAGGGGTAAATAAAACAGCCACATTTAAACAATACACAAGATTACGCATCACTAAGCACCATTATGAAAGAACCCTTTGTGGGAAAAGCAGTACCTCCATTTTGGCTGCAAGAAACAAGGATGTGATGCCTAGTAGCTGAAGTTGATTCTTTGGAAGGTTTGAAGTCTTGGCCAGGTAGCGATCAAGGATGTCTTGAGCCAAGTAGTAGGTGTCCCTGTGCAACCTGTAAACTTCGCAGACCTGGAAATATGGGTAAAGTATAGTCAGCACAGATGCTTTATGCGTGCATGGTTCAGCAAGAACTCTACATTGAAAAATTCTGTCAATACACTGCAGTGGTAGAATGTACACACACAGGCTTTACCACTATATTTCAGCAGAGTTACCCTATCTGCACAACAACCATGATTTTTTAAAGGTTTCTTTGCTCAAGTGCACATTGAAAAAATATCTGAACTTTGCTGGTGTCCTCAACAAGAGTAACGTGAAGTTGTCTACTGTATGTAACAAAAAACCTTGACTGCAACTGGGAAGTTCTAGCGGCAACAACCTGTATGAGGGGTGCAACAGCCAAAACAGGATTCAGGGCAATTTTGTTATAGGCAAAATGTAGTTTGATGATTGGTTTCGCCCAAGATCAGACCGTCGACAAAGGGACAAGTAGTGCTGACCTCGCGATATAACAATCGTAATGTCATACCGACTAGCCCAAACCGCCACGCTTCTAAAGTACCTTTCGGAGCATCAAAATACAGATTTGGAGCAGTATAACAAGAAAGGCTTACTTTTATAAAAGAAAACTGAAATATATATGAGCCATTCAACATCAGCTAACTTGTGCACAGTGCACTGCTATTTCAATTAAAGCAGTATGTTGAAGCCCTGCAAAGCAAAAATTGAGGAAGTCCAAATTAGCATTTGCAGCGAAGATCAAATAATTTGACAGGCACTGGAAATGGTAATGCCCTGCCAAGCTGGCGACCTCGAAATCCAGGAGATGTGTAAAGCACGGATGAGTGTGGGTGGCAGCAAAAAAAAAACTGCTGAACATTTTTGTTTCTCAAGGTCGCAGAATTATCATAAACTGCTCTGAATTATTGGCGGTAATATTTTAGATGTCAGGGATCAAACTAATACTGGTATAATAATATGACATGTGGGTGCATCAGTAATTAGGAAAAAAATTTTATGTCCCGTGAGAGCTGGTACTAATAGCCCCTTCGGAATCTTAGTACGCTTTCTTGTAAGGCACCAGTGTACTGTGGCAAAAGTGGCCTGAAGAAAGCAAGCTGAGTGCAACAAGAGGTCTGAGTCTGGGTGTCTGGATTTGTATTGGATGACGCTAAAACTGCAGGTGGCCAACCCAGCTCCCACTTCTTGCTAAAAGGAGGAACCAAGAAATTTCAGAGGCTGGTCTGGAACTTTGGTGCTGCTGTTACACCCCTGCTGTATCAATGCATATTGTGATTAAGAAATCTTTGTGAACTTATAGCCGAGTAATACTTGCAAGAGAACCTGAGTTGCACCTACACCCAACACTTTTTAATATTGCACCACTACTCCACTGCCGTGACAGGGACTATAACTGTTCAGGGCCACTATTTTGTAGATTCCTTTACTGCTGCTTTTTTTTACTCATTGCCAATGGCCAGACCATAGTCAATCCTTGTGAACAACATCAGCAGACTGTGCAGGACAGGTGATAAGAATGGCATATAAACCAGCAGAAGGCAGTGCTACGAAACAGTGACCCAAGAGCAAAACACCAAAGCCTTAGCACAAGTAAATATTTTTTGAAGATGCTACCAAGGTAAATAATGGGCTTGAGTCTAGGTTAAAATAGAGCTGCACTATGGGCCATTGAGAAGTACACAAATCAACCAAAGTCACACCTCAATCAACCAGTCGAGGAGAATAGCACGCATCCGTGGCTGCAAAGCAGGATGCCGCTCTAGCACGGATGCACTGTGGACATAGATCACATCTTTGTGAACCATAAGATTCCACACATTCTCCTGGTCAGCCCAAGACAACTGAGGAAGTGGAGAATTGCGGCATGCCCGTGGTTCAGGTGTTGGAAGGCCATGAATGCCTCGAAATTGACTATAGCTTTTTGGTGTGCCTCCACCACAAAAGTATGGTGCTTGACTGCGATCTGGGCTCCCGAAGTCCATGTGCGATGTTTCTTCAAAGCTTTTGCTGGCATCTGGTGAAGATGTTTCCTGCAACAATGAAAAAAATTGGAAGCCCCCTCCCAATGTAAAAAATTCACATTTTCAAATGCAGTTACTTGGGATGAACAGTACAGCTAAACTTGATTACTTGCGACATTTACACAGATGTTGGTCAATCTTTAGCAAAATAGCAAGCTAATACAGTATAAGGTCCAGGCAGCATTCTGAACAAAAATGTTTTGTAAACGAGAAATTTAACAGCCCCCGACTATGGACATCTCGTTACTATGTATGCGCGATGCAAGTAAGACGTGCCAGACTGCACAACGAATTCTACATTTCTGCAGTAGCAAATTTAAGTGACGGTCGCCACCAAAATTAACGACTCGGCAAAGCATGAAATTACAATTGTACTCATGCAGAGTGACATAAATTGATGAAACTTTAAACTGTGTACCTAAATTAGGAGAGCGAAGTGCAGTAACACATCATCCGCCGAGTGAAGATGTGACCCACAGTACCACAGCTATACGGGTTCACAGACTGGCGTAATTTCTTGGAAAATTAATTCTAACAAGCCAGGAACACCTTAAGCACATGCAAGAAACATATCAAGCAAAGCAATTAACATGATTCAGGCATAAACGCGAATAATTGTACAGAAAGCCCGGCAGCCGTGGCGCTGCACAAAGGACACCTTCGCTGTGCAATACAGCGGCGGTGGTGAATTTAGAAAAAATAAATAAATGCGAACCCAAACACAATTCAAATAGTCCAACATCTGTTAGTGAAAGACAAGGCTGGGTAGGTGAAAAATGAAATAAAAATAACGTCAAACATCGACGAAAGGCTTGGCGGTCTATTGTAATGCCGGGCAAATATGGTACCTCGAAAACGCAGACTTACAGCACAAAGTCAACAACTTATCATTAAAACGGCGGATACTAACAGTAAGTTCTTAAAAATTAACCCTCAGTAAAGTACTACGAGCCTCACATACAAAGAAAGTGCCGAACATCACGGTCCGTTGAGCGCCAAAATGTAGCACCGCCCCGCTATTTTTTTTTTCTTCCCCACACGAAGTAGGCCTCAAGTGGACAAAGTGCCGCAAAATTTACTAACCTCGGCAGCAGCCGGTGCTCGTCGTCTCTTCCGAAGCATAATGTGGTCAAGAGATCCGCGAGTGCGCTTCGACCTGGTAGCTTTCGTGCTGAAAAGGTGCACGGCAGAGCGAGGAAGGAAGCCCCCGGTAAAGCAGTTGCCGCCAAACCCACTCTTGCATACGGCAGTCAATACTGCCTCCACACTTTAAAAACAAAATAAATTGGATAATTTTTCAACACTTACCACCTTTTAGACATATTTCCTGAGGAAGCTTGATCAGTGTTCCATCCGGAAAAACTGCGAGGGCGGGAAAAAGCCGGGTAAGTGGAAGCTTGCCGCCAAGATTTTGGCGCGGTTACGCGCGACCAGTCAGCACTCAACGTAATCGCGCCAAAACGAACAACCAAAACCAGGCTCGATAGAAGCACTAAATGATGATCAGTTTAAGCCATTACACTTCTGAAATGATAATGCACATCGCTCTCGCGCGACGGATGCCGGCGGGCAGCGGCGCTTACTGCAATATGCATCCCGTTCCTGAAGCCGGCTGTACGCGGGAAAAAGCCTACGCAGCGCGCGAAAACAACGTTCCCAGCTGAAATACTTCTAATGTTCGCTGAAAATAAGCAGGGCGCAGTACTTACGATTTCGTGAGTGAAGAGCCGCCAAGTAAGCCTCCGCAAGTCTAGATGAAGAGCAGTAGAAAGGCGAGCATCCCCCAGGTAGGTAAACGATCTCTGCTCGGAGCAAGGAGCACGACGCACTGCCGGGTTTCCCTCTGCCGCCAAACGCGCGCAGTCCAAGAGTGCGCCGGCGGAACAGCTGAGTGGGAAGGAGGTGGCCGCCTTCTCGCCTGTCGTCCCTCTCGGTCCCCTCTGCCGTCTCACTACTCTTTTTTTCTCCTTCTCTACGGAAAGCTGCGGTTGCCGGACTTCACTTGGTGGCTCTCCCACGTCGCAGCGCTGGCTGCCCCTCTGCGTGAAATATTCGCTCGCGAAACCTTCGCTTACGCACAACAGGCTTCTCCGAGTTCGTTCCTATTCAGCGCGTTTCTATTCAAAAAACAAAGTCAGTGAGGAGCCGGCAATTTTTCAGTTTTGTGGTGAATGATAACACGTTTTGCCTCTCGACACTTTCCCCTGCCATGTAAGCCGCAAAGTTATACTTTGGACCGTCTCATTATCAATAATTGTCATTGACCTCGTAAACGTCAATAACTTTCACAAGGACCTCGCTCAATGTGTTGAATCGAAAGCGGCGAGTGTTGAAGCCGTCCAATTCATTGGAAAGCGAGAAAAAAGAGCGACGCTATAAATAATTGTGTATGCTCAAACAATCACTTCTTAATTTTAAGGTATATTATACAGGACAAATACTTCGGTCTATTAATGTCCCTAAGAGATGTAGAGAAACTGAATTCCGGCCCGCGCAACGCTTCTGTCTTACATATAGCAGAAAACAAGAATGTAAAGAACAATAAATAAAATGTGGAGTTGATGTCCTCAGCGCTTCTTTTTTCTTTCTCTCTACGCGTAGACCAGTAAAAAACAAAACAAAAACGGGCGCAAGCTTGCCAAAAATTTTAATCAAAACATTGTTAATCTCATGATTATCATTCAGTTATTTTTAATACACGCTGACCAAATTGTAATCTGCCGTACACGCATCACGCATTCCCACATAACGGCTGAAAGGAATTTGTGTGAAAATAAACAGGACCCTACCAACCACACACACAGGGCAAGAACACTGAACTGAAACATATGCTTCCGTACAAGTGTGAATCGTCCACTCCTTGACACTTTGACGGGGACGGGAAGCAAAAGAGCTCGTGCTATCGTAGTGGTATATCGCAGAATGACAGAATTATTCCGAAACTCCATTGTCAGTGAAATTAGGAAAAAAAATTTACAAAAAAGAAAAGGGCCTCAGCAAAATCTTTGAGATACCATATTCCGAGATTAAGTACATTGTTGAAGATATCTTTTATCGCACCTTCCGTTTCTCTAGCCCAGGCAGTGCCAAGAAACATTTGTAAGTTTCTCTCCCTGCGGAATGACTGTAGGCGGAAATGATGAGCAGTTAACGCAAACTGAACAAATACTCTTTTGAATGCTTTAGTTTTATTTTATTTACGGTCTTTATGTATAGCTTATAGCAGCCAAATAAAGTGTTCCCCGCGTGAAACAACGAAATTGTCCTAAATTTATTCGAAGGTCGTAGGTTCGATTCCTGCTCACGGCTGGTTATCCTTTCACCCACTTTTCTTTCTTCTTATTTACATTCCATTGGTTCTAATAACTTCCCCTGTACATTCCTTGGCATTACTGTCTGTTAGATCTCAATAATATTGTGTCAAAACACGGAAAAACGAGCCCTTAGGTATACACTTCTTTCCCTTATGTATATATATATATATATATATATATATATATATATATATATATATATATATATATATATATATATATATATATATATATATATATATATTGAAGAGGGAACAGATACAGAAGACAAAGATTTATTGAATATGATTTGTTAAATATACGGATGACCGCACAGATATATACGTGTGTATGTGCGTGTAAGAACCAAGTATCGCAATATCATTGTTCACTACCTGGCAGCGTTTGAGTGAGGCAAAGTCATGCCACAACGACTCGCATAGCGTAGTGACACAGCCAACTGGAGGGGGGGGGGGGGGGTACGCAGGCCACGTGCCTCGTTCGACCCCACCCACTATCCATAAGTCAGAGAACATGGCGAGAGACGGGTTGAAACGAACAAGGCAGACATGCAGATAATGTGCTTTAAAAAGGTGGTATCTCGTTCCCGCTCTGTTCTATATCTTCACATCATAGCATATGCATTGCGCTATTGTGGCAAGGCCTTCTCATGGATGGACTTGGGCTACCAAGCTAAGTGTCTTTAAATGCATTTGTTTTCCTTAAAAAAAAAGGAGGGGGGGTCTTCAAGAAAGCCCCGTCGGACGAGGTCACTCACACAAGATGGTTGTCATATCCGCGAAAATAAATGTCAAGAAAACGATCACTTATACTGACTGCTATTGATGAACTTCAAACGCCGTTGTGTGTGTGTGTGTGTGTGTGTGTGTGTGTGTGTGTGTGTGTGTGTGTGTGGTGTGTGTGTGTGTGTGTGTGGTGTGTGTGTGTGTGTGTGTGTGTGTGTGTGTGTGTGTGTGTGTGTGTGTGTGTGTGTGTGTGTGTGTGTGTGTGTGTGTGTGTGTGTGTGTGTGTGTGTGTGTGTGTGTGTGTGTGTGTGTGTGTGTGTTCAGTGATGATGGAGGATAAGTGTCAGTGAATAAATAGAACCCAGGTAATACTGTTTTTTTTCTTCACAATAATAGCACAGTGACCAGGCCTCTCGGCACATTGAAAATTGGCAGCCTCTAAATATGGAGGTTTTTTTTTTTTTTCACTTAATGAACCGTGCGCACGGGGCGGGGGGGGGGGGGGCGCTGGAACGAACCTTTACGCCCCCTGATGGGGAACCTTACGAATATACCTCCAAGGCCCCAGCAGGGGTATTATATGAGAGGTGGGTTTTAATTACAATGGAACAGTTATTTTTTCTGCATGACTCACGAGGATCATGTGCGGAAGATACAGACAGACTGAAAAGCAGACGGGTGATTAAGCAGGCTTGTTTGTACGTACATATTTCAAACGGCGCCGAAACGGTTCGTTATTAATAATACATAGCAAATTCTAATCAAGTCACCATCATCAAAAAGTATGCGGACCAGCGTACGCGCGATATCATTGAGGCATCCACCATTATCAAGCGGGGCTCTTCATGCTTCAGTTCGTCGCCCATCCGATTACTTAACTAGGAAATTGAATAACTGCAAGATTGATACCTCATCAATAGCCTGCAGCCCTTGATCATGCTGTCTCTCTTGGTACGTGCCCGCCTATAGTTCTACGACTCAATCAACAGGTGCACACGGACAGATAGACGGACGGAAGATTCGCGGTTTACCGATAAAACCCTCCGAAGCTTCACCCAACTCATGATCATTCACTCGGTGGATATGCTGTAATTTCTCTTTATCCCTTTTGTAACATGCCTTCTGTCTCTGACCATACATTTCGGGTTCGCGCAATAAAACCCCTGTTGGAAGTCCGTGTCTGTGTTGTGATGTCGCTGTTTGAAAAACTTTCTAAAAAGCTGAATTTCGTATGACCGATTAAGCATAGAGAAGAGTAGATTAGTAGTCGGACACAAGCACTGAATGTCCGGCTGGCTCGAGAATGCAGCCCCTTCCAGGACGACGAGAGAAGGGTGGATTGAGGAGGGAACATGCAGGCTGTTGAGGGTGCCTTGAACTGGTCTCGCTGAATGACGGAGGGCGAGTGGTAGGAGGGCGGACTGGTGCATGCATGCTGCCACTGGGTGCGCCTGTGCCGTTGTCAGAACATGGGAGGAAAGCGCAGCGTACTAGTTCGAGGCGTACGGCGTCCACTGCCCTGGCTTTCTATTGCCACCTATTTCTAGTACTTCAGGAAAGAAGGAGTACGTGGAAAGCGACTTTCCATCAGCGGCTGCACGCTGCTTCAGCAATGTGGATGAAGTGGTAGCTTTGAGAGTTTTCTGCAATCTTAGGAGCACACGTGCACTATGAGTGAAGGGGTCATGTCTTGACAGCCAACGCTCCCCTCAACTGCCCTCTCCAATACTCTGCCGACTGTATATTTCGCATATTATTTTTTTAACAGTTAACTGCATTTCGCCTCCTCTCCCGATCCCATCTCACGCGCAGCCGGCCGCTGCAGTCATGTTGTTACTAATGTAGGAGAAATCCATGCACGTTTAGGTATATAGGCCTGTATTAGCACCTCACCTTTTAGCGGATAAAATGCGAACGTGGCGCGTGCGCTAGTCAAGTGTTTACCGGAGTGTGCATGAGAGTGCGGGGGAGGGGGGCTAAGTTTGCTCATACATCGATTCAACAGGAAGGGGGAGCGCTGGAATAAACCTCCCCCCGAACGGGAGCCCAGCGCACGCTTAAGTGTGCGACTCTGCACGAGTAGTCAGCTGAAACAGTCAACTCCTCTAGCTGCTCTAGCGCGATGGCCTCTAGAGGAGACGCGCTGGAAACACGTTAGGAAAAAATCGCTAGCAGAAACGAGATTTGGTGGTGGCGCTTCAATGGTTGTCTAAGCACTTTAACTCCACGAACTTCTTCTATATTTCTGCTCGAAAACTGACTTAGCCTGCCCATAATTACGCAGAGAAGGATAAGCAAGACAGTGCTCTCGGGAATTTCAATGGCATCGCGAGGGTGGTAGAAGACTTCCAGTCCTTAACAGTACACTGAGATTTGTCGAACAGTCATCATTCCTCGAGTGGAATAAAAGTAAAACAGGACACGGAAGATTTATTTATAGAAGTCCACTGGAAAAGTCGGCATTGCAGTTGAGTTGATCAAAGATGGAGGGAATTTCACATTTCACATGAAATGTGTCAGTGAGCAGGGATAGTAACTACTGGAAATTCATTGTTTTCAATACAATAAATCCCCACAACTTTCAAAAACGATTGCACTAGTCGGGAAACGACTGAGAGGTATGGCATTGAATGAAACCTATACAATAGAAAAAGCACGTAAAAGAGATGAGTTTCTGGAGTCACGTTTACAACCTATTATATGTCGCAGTATAAATTTCGACATTAAGAAATGAGAACATTTGACAAGGTAGTGTAATTAGGGTTTGATTAATGTAATGTCAGTGTTGGTATACTTCTAATTGCAAAACCACAGCTCGTCACTGCTGCTTG